GATTATGTTAGAATACCGCTTCACAACAGATTTTACACTTCTTAATTTCACCAGATATCTCTCGTAATAATATGGGCTAACACGCAATTAAATATCTAAATAGAACAAAGAAACAGACACGTGACCCTGGGTTATCTCAATGCAATATAACTGTCTGTTAGATTTATTTCGTCATTAGCGTCTAGATCGAGGCGATAACACACGAGCACTAATTATACGGCTTCTGGAAAAGTATATCCTTCCTCTACGGTTTAATTGCTGTAAAGAATCTTAGAAGTATTTACTTTAGTACTTCGGTTACGTTACTGGCATGCAAGAATTGAAAAATACGACTACACTGCCTAGTTTCAATTTAAATAAAACTTTAAACTTAAAACGCGATATATATTAGTACTACTTATATGTGACACTGTTAGAGGCAGAGTGGCCTAATAACAAAAAAAAACACTATATTGATTTATCGAACGAAAAATTAAAAATGCGCAATTAACTTAGGTGAAAATAAATGTGTAAGAATTATGTTAAAAATTTTCGGTCACTGCGCTCTTGTAGATTAACATTTTTAGACTATAAAAATAAAATTAAGTCAGTTATAAAATTGCGGCTAGACGTAAACTACATATATATTTTTCCTAGGTAATGGAACCTAGGACCTTTCGAGCAATGGTTAAGCAAACATTTATCTATTAAGTTACAAAGGCTCTTGGCATTAAACTCTAATTTAATGTAAATTTTTATTTTTTGGCTCTTTAGTAACTTTTAAATAAAACACTTAAACGGTTTAAAACGCGATATATTAGTTAAACTTATTTGAAAATCATTTTCAAATAAGTTTAACTAATATATCGCGTTTTAAACCGTTTAAGTGTTTTATTTAAATGTGTACAACTCGCGTAAACTATAGACAGTCTTTAGTAACTTTCTCATGGTAACAATGTATGGGCAACAACGGTTTCTGCCGCCACCGAGACAAACATATTTCTAATCGATTTATAATAATTTAATTCGCTCTATTCTTGTAGATACAACATATCTAAAACTAAACAATATGCAATCATTCCTTTCCTTTTTCGGTGTCGGATTAAAGAATCGATACAACGTGTTACACGTAGTAACGCAATCTTTCCTTATGTAAAGTTATTACATTTATGACCCTATTTAGACTTTGTACGTGAGATTTTCAATGTTTGGAATTTTTTATCTGTAAATAGTAAACAAACTGTGACATTATGATAAATGATCTCCATTCTGTTTATATAGCTACAATAATAATGTATTTTATAAATTTCGTTTTGAATTGTAAATGACAATTTAATTTAATCGAAAAAATTCGTTCAATCTAATATTATAAATCCGAAAAGTTTGATCGTTTGTTTGTATAATCGCGCTTATTTCAGGAACTCCTACTTCGAATAAAAAAATATTTAAAAAGCGGGAAGTATATTTGAGAATTCCCTCTTATAAAGATTCAAAAAATATCTTTTAAGAATAACTGGCACTAACTGTTTTTATAAAAAAATTTGGCCGAATTGTTTGCAAGATTAATCCAAACAACAAAACAACGTTTAGCGGATTATCTAGTTTTAAAAAAAATTCAAAACTACAGGGAATGTATTTAAACTAAGACGACGAAATACGATATTAAGTTTCCACAGTATAAATATCATATTTTGAATTAAGATTTTTTCCAGCGTTAATTATACAGATAAAGCAAATATTTAACACATTCTAGAGATTACAGATTATGTATAATAACTTTGAAAATTATTTGCGTAGATTTATTTGTAATGACCGATGCAACCTTCGATCATTTTATTGAATGTTTATTAATTGCACGATTCGTTCGCATTGGTTTCTATATATTCTCTATAAAATACGTATTTATTATTATCTGTGGGATTTTCATCTGTGGTACTCAAAAGCCAGGTCTAACTTTAAATATATATGAAGTAACTGCACTGTGTCAGAAATATACTTTTCTATAATAAAAGACAGACAAGCATCGGGGTTGACTCGATTGTAGGTGAAATATTCCTTTCGACCTATTTTGGCTTTGGATATTAGGACACACAGACTGGAACCGAAACGTCATTAAACTGCGCGGCCTTTTTATTTTTGGAGAGTCGGAGATTCGTGATCCGGACGAAATTTCCATATTCCTAGCACCTATTTAAAATGCAGATTTCCAGACGAAGTTCAACATGTTTCAGAAAAATTACAAATGGGTCAGAAAAAATTTGGAACTGGTGGGGATCAAACCCACGCGACCCAACGAGCCCGTCAAACTCTTAAATAATAGTTCTAAAACAGACATAATTTTACACATACACAAATAAATAAGACAATTAGATAAAACTAATGTAATATTTACATTGTCGAAAGACGCAACCCTTTGTGCAAATAAGTTATAACTTTTAACAATATTATTTCATTTGAATGTTCTTTCTTGGAAAATTACTACCATATAAACCGCTTCATTATAACTAATTATAATTTTATACACCTTCCGTCACGTGTAAAGGAAAACGTATGTTACGCTGAATATGAGATTAAATGTTGGTAAATAATGTTTGGGAATCCCGTTCATTTTTTTGCGATGCTGAGTCACTAGAGATAAGAGATGGTACTAGAAGAAATTGTTTTTGTCGTTAAATATTTGTCATTATTTGTTTAAATGTTGTCTGTAGTTTACGCGTACATTAAACATTCTTTTAACGGTTTAAAACGCTAGTTATCTTATTGTCTTTGTAAAATACCCTAAACGCCGGGCCGTAGATAAAATAAATTTTACAAATATTTTGCTGTGCAATCAGTAATTTTGATAGGAATTCGAAATCTTATTGCATAGAAAAAGGATATTTTTTGATTTGCGTTTAAATACTACCCAATTTATTTTATCTAAAAGTAAGTTAACTAAATAAGTTTCGCTTATAAAAAAGAGTTTTATTTACATTATTAATTTTAATTTTATACACTTCAACATTAGATCTAGGCATAACCTGCCCTTTGTAAAAGTTAGCTCAAACATTTCACCGTTTAAAACCGTATTTTAATGTTTAATATTAGTTTAATTTTATACACTTAAAGACGTATCAGGTATTTGTAAAAGATATATTGTAATTTTAAACATATGTGTTGACAGAAATACACAACATTTCTTGAAAATATACACACGCTACTGTTTTGTTTCCATGGTCCGGTGGTAAAGCATTCGTATTATCCCGATTTGGGCATTAGGAAAACGTAATAAATCAATAAACGTCGGATGGGAAACAGTGAACTGGTTGCCTATAAACCTATTAAGATCAACAGATAGCTACGTGCTTTGTACCTACATAATTTGGGCATAGACTATGAAATTATTTTAAGCTAGGTCATCTCAGTGATCTGTGGAAGAAACGCCACGAATTTGAATCTGGTCAAACATAAAAAATAAATTTGCTCGGGGACAGAAAAGGCGATCATGTTAACGGACACAAATCTTTGTCTACCCCACTTAGAAGACACTTTATCATAAGCCACGCAAAACCGAAAGAGTTATTACAGAATATAAAAATAAAAAGTAATTTAAATTTAACAGATATATAAGATATTTAAAAAAATCTTGTTATATACATAAGGTTTGTTCGTTGCCACGTATTGAATGTCCCATTCCTCTGGGTACGTCTCCTTTCTTATATACTATAGTTTAAGAGCTCAGACTGACCACGCTTATCAGTGGTTCGAATTCTACATAAATATAACTCACGAATTTATAAGAAATAATCCCAAAAAATAAAAACTTTTCCTACTCGGCTTTTCGTTCCCAAACCCGTATTAGTACTTAGGACTCGTAATAGATTGTGGCACTACTATACTAAACTGCATGGTAAAAAAATTGTTTTTAAATAAATCACTTTAATGGTTTAAAACGCGATATATTAGTTAAACTAGTTATTATTATTAAACTTGTTTAAAAACTATTTTAACTACGGCCCGACGTTTCGGATGCTTTGCAGCTGCCGTGCTGACGGGAAGACTGAAAAAGCATCCGAAACGTCGGACCGTAGTTAAAATAATTTTCAAATAAGTGTAACTAATATATATCGCGTTTTAAACCGTTAAAGTGTCTTATTTAAATGTGTACTACTCGCGTAAACTACAGACAGTATTCACAGACAATAGAAAGTATTTGCACAAATGTAACACGTTTACGCAACCCACCTACTTGTATAGAATAATTAAATAGATATATTACAAAAATACATTATTGTTTACGTTTCGTAAGTGGTATACGATTGCTTTTATTTAATCTGTGGTTTATTTTCCTTTACAGGCCATTCCCGCTTTTTGCATTTGTGTCAAATTAACAAATGACAATTGACTCAAATTTAGAATTGGTAATTATTAAGCGGGAACGCTGTTAACTTAATGAAGGATATTATCATAATTTTACAAATGACTAAATTCACGAATGAGCCAGTTTATTCGTGTTTATTTCAATGAATCAGAAAGTAACATGCGTTTTTCTTTATTACAGAAACTTTCCTGTTTATCTTTCCTAGTCAAATAGTGTTTAATTTCTAAATAATTCATTGTAATGTGCGCTTTTACGCAAATTTTTCACACGAGCTCTCATTTAAAATGCAATTCGCATTAACATAATGACCTCATTAGGTATTCTAAGATTTCAAACAAAAACTTGACCTCTAAGTAAAGAGAATTAAACGACGTATTTAATGTTTCTGTATGTGTGTCAAATATGCGCATACGCAAGGGATAAAAACTTCTCGATTTAAAATAGGTACAATTCTCACGTTTAGAAACGGAAACGTTTGCTTCTATTCACTAGTTACCTAATTTGTGAGGAAATTTTAAAGAATTTGTTTAATCTGTGTTGGGAAAAACACTAAGGGTCGTTTTATGTAATTCTCGCACCTCAAACAAATAATAAATACCGGTTTTGATCTGGCCTTCGTCGAGACAAAGCGCAATCTCTAAATAAAAAAAAAACAACGCACCTTGAATTTTTCGACACTTTTCCGTTGGCGGAAAAATCTTCGCTGCCCCCGTAACTTGTCACCAATGGCATGTCGCCCTCCATTTTTACCACTCCACTAATACCACTATACACTGGACATAAAGCGTAACACGTCCGACGGCCGCGAATGCACTGTCCGACTGATTTTATTGATGTAAATGAGCACAGATAACATATGACGGACTGTGTCATTGATAATTGAATAGCTTTACGCAACACTGAAGATTCCAGCCTCGGTCAATGATTATTTAGTGGCCTTTGTTCGTTTGACAGTTCATCAAGACGTTATTAAATATTTTGCGAGGATGACTTGAGGCGACGTGCATTTCTACCTCTTACATTTACCAATATCACCGGGTTGACTTTACTGACAGTAAATAAAAGGTTTTATTTACTGTCAGTAAAGTCAACTAGCTCGTACAACAGTAGCTCGTGTACATAAAACGTAAAAAGCATACACTTTACTATTTAATTGAAAAGAACACAGGCAGGACTCAAACCTACTAAACACGGTAATATGTCTGTTAATAAATCAGTAAATAAAAGTGCAAAACCTTCTTTTTTATGTTTCTGTTCCTCTATTTCTGGTTGTCTATATCGAATTCAAACTTACCAGATCCCAGTTGATCTGGAGTAAATCTTTGGTCGTCGTAGTCTTAAGAAAAGATATGTAACAGTGACTTTTTTTATTATTTCTATTGTTTACGGTTATTTGTTAAAATAAAACAAAAAGAAACACCTTCTGCAATAAACAGAATTTAGTGTTAATATTTTTGGAGAAACCAATGCAAATATAGGACCTTAACGACTTTATCATCAATAGAAAGTGATCACGTATCAAAGCCGCGACCTCTAATGTTGGTGTTAAGAAGTGTTAGGTTATGAGACGAAGGTAGATTACGCCATCGGTTATATAACATCGATAAAGAATATGCGAACTTTAAAAATATATCAAAATATCGATAGACTTTTGTCAGGCCTTATTCAATTTACCCCGCCTCGTTGGACTGCTGCAGATCATGAGTTTCCACTTCCCAACTTTTCTTTTTCGTTAAAAGTAAATTTCTAAACAGGGTCAGTCCTGGTTATTATTACAACAATATTGGTGGTAGTCCTGTAGTAATTTGGCAGCATCTGAACTCTCCTCTCTATAAGAGAACAGGGCCCAGCATTGATGTATCAATGATTTTTTTCATGATAGAGGAAGCGTGGGGGAGGGTAGGTAGAATACCCTCGACATAAAATATCTAAACAAGATGCGCTGTCGGCCTATATTGGTGTGGATATTCGGAAATCGAAACTAAAGCTGACACACGATTAAACTTTACGGATTTTTCATCGTTGATATTTCGTCATACATTGCTGCCATTAAGAATCAAAGAGATGCAATCAAAATGTCGAAATTATCAAAAATTTCATGAAACTCTAACGACTGTAGATTCGAAATGCCCAACAAAACCGCAGACAGTGTGCAGTAATAACAATTTAACAATTATATATTTTGCGTGTCGAGATACGCATTGATTACGTAAAAACGAAATCAGGAAAGCGTTGTACGGATATTAACATAGTATTATCTAATATTACATTGATTCATGATAGCGATGTAATAGCGGTATTGTGGATTTGAGGTTGATTTACCAGTTAAATCCTCTGTGGTTCGCATATTTGTAATGGATTATGCACCAGCCTCTACTATGTCCACGTTATGACGATGTGAGGCTCTATCTTGACAGAAAGGGCTTAGACCGACGCTGGTCCAGTGTAGGTTAGTTAATCTTATAGAGCACCTATTAGAAGGTGTGTTTAACGTTTTTAAACCAGAAAATTAGATTAAGACGTTTCAGTTGCTTTACGGCAGCCGTGGTCATGGGGGGACATTTTAGTGTTTTATTTAAGCGTAGTACACGTTTTCGTATTCGCGTGAACTACAGACAATCTTAGGTCTCGAACTAATATTTTACACGACGCGGATTTTAACACTGAACATCGAGATCCGCTGTCAAGTATAGTAACAACTAGAAACATTTATAGGCTAACTCTATCTGTGTTTTTTGAAGTTCTGTTAATTGCTGTCAGTTTTAAGCGGTTAATAAATAGCTACCTCGTGCATAAAACCGTCCAGTTTATCCGGAGAAGCATGTAATATATCTATCTCGCTGGCCAGTCCAATATTATTATTTACGTTTTAATCATTCTCCCCAAATCATAATAAACATGTTTGTTTTCTGGTTATTACCGATGCGTAATTTTTACGCGAGATAAAAGGGGGGAATGTGGAAATGACGTGTTTACGAGTATCTTATTTCTTGGTACAGTCAGTGTTTTTTGTTTTTTTATTATTAATTTGTTCTTTTAGCACGTATAGGAATAATTACTAGGTATATTATCATTATGTTTATATGTGAAGAGTTATATCTCGAGAGTTTCACAGATAGAATTGGTTGGTTAAACAATAGTACGCAATAAGGTCCTATGTCGCCCAAGGGACAAATATTTCTCGCTACGTGAAATAATATTATTTATATACCTAATATGTTTTTTTTTCATTTTCTTTAAGTCTTAGATTGCGTCTGGAACTTCTGGAGAGGTTAAGGGAAAATTTAAATTAAGTCCAGGTCACGTACCACGTACCATCCACAGATGTAAGAGCCGTGAAGTTTAATCGCGTTATAGTTTTTTTATCTGTGGTTATTGAAATATCATAGACAACATAATTCGCCCGTGGTTTTTGATATTGGAAATCCTATAAAATGTTTACAATATTTTGTTTATTATAAAGATCAAGTTGTGAAATTACGAAACAGTGAAAGCAGATCTAATAAAATAGCGAAATGAAAGGAACTTTCGTTTTGCAAGCTGGGTTTGTATGTTTGTATGGGACTCACGTGCAAACTACGAATGAAAGTGATTATTTTCGTCGTGGGCGCCATATTTATGTTTATGGATGTGTTAACTAATTTGTCTTGTCTATGGACAGAAAACGTTTTATGACATTTGCACCTTTATCTGTACTAAAATGAAGCTATAGAAATATTTTCTCCACACATTTTAATAAAACATGAATTTCTGAAACATGTCGGTCTTCATCTAGATATTAATTGGATGGTAGGAATATCGATATTCCGTGTAGGGCACAAACGACCGACAATAGATAAAAGGCCGTCAAGTTTAATCACGTTTTAGATTTAGTCTATGGATTTCGGAATAACCATAGCCTAAATAGGTCGACAGATAAATAGGTCGATAGGTCGATATATTAGTTAAACTTATTTGAAAATTATTTTTAACTTCGGCCCGACGTTTAAATCATTAAAAATCATTTTCAAATAAGTTTAACTAATATATCGCGTTTAAAACCGGTAAAGTGTTTTATTTAAATGTGTACTACTCGCGTAAACTATAAACAGTATCTAATTTAATGTTTTTCAGCCACTTTTTGAAAACGAAACTTTCGCAGTCATACGCATATAGATATATAATTAAAGTTATTTCTATGTGTGCCAACATAAACATATTTAGACGAGAATATAAAAATTGTTGCATACATAGGCACATATTAAGAGTTAATCTCAGAAGATTAAGCAACGAAACTGGGTCGTAAGATCCTGTTTTTGAAATCACTTCCCATTATGTATGAATGTACTTTAATTCCGTTTTCATATAATATTTATATACCTAACATATTTTTTATGCATTTAAGTGAATCATTAAATAATAAAATAATACTCTATAATTTTTATAGATAAATTTAGTTAGTTTTTAATAGAGATGGGCCGAGTACTCGGTTAACACACGGTGCTCGGCGGGTTTTTTGATATTGATACTCGGCCGAATAACTCGGTTTTACTTTGTTATTTGATAATAATCCACCTAAATAAAGCAATATATTTAGGTGGATATACTTGAAACGTGTTAATCCAAAAGTATTTATTAGTAATTTAGGCAATCTTTGAATATTTCAATTAATTAAATCAAAACTATGCTAATGAATGAGTAGTAAAGAGAGAAAACTACGAGAAGATTAGAGCGATCCGACGTCTTGACCGGCGCAAACCTGTTTGTACTTGTTCACGCGCGAAGAGAACAGAGTTACTCGGTTGAAAAAAACTTGAACCAAATAAAACTCGGTACTCGTTACTCGTTAGTCGGCAAAAGTGTTACTCGGCGCATCTCTAGTTTCTAACAACAAGAGCGACGTGATAAAAATATACATATACAAATAAAAATAATATTCCTTCATTGTTATTTGCAATGTCCTTCTGGATACTGTCTGTAGTTTACGCGAGTATTACACTTTAAATAAAAAAACCTTTAACGTCTCCCCGTGACCACGGCTGCTGCAAAGCATCCGAAACGTCGGGCCGTAGTTAAAAATAATTTTCAGATCAGTTGAACTAAAATATATCGCGTTTTAAACCGTTAAAGTGTTTTATTTAAATGTCCTTCTGGTTTAATATAATCTATGCGAACGAAACTTCAAAACTAATTTTCAATTTGCGTCAAATTCGCATTTCAAATCCGGAATCATGCGAACGGGGTCTTGAAACGGAACCGTGTCGTATATAGCCATCCCGCTCCTTTCTATTGAAAATCGATCAGTCTGTCTCGCGGTTGCATGTTACCGTTAAGATGTTAGGGTTACCGTCCTTTGCTTACTGCGACATCGTTTCGTGCTCGGATGGAGCATTTAAAAGCTATCCTATATCCCCTTTTGCGCCATAATCATCTGAAACACAAGTTTAAGAGAGACTAGCTGATTTGACAATAATGCATTACTGTCGATCTAATTTGATTAATTTAAAAAACGTAGAGCGTCGCGGACTTTTTTTTTAATAAATTACTTAAGAAATCGTTCTTTTATATATATATTTTCTTGAACAATTTCGCAGTGCATGCAAAGGAAGAAGTAACGGTTAAAAACGCGATATTTTCAATTTACTTAATCAGTAGGTCACGGGGTTCGATGCGAAGCATACGAGAGGTCGCCGTAACAATAAATTGTAAATAATTATGTTAACTACTTATTAATTCTTATAATTTTAGTATTTAAACCCTTAAAA